CAAAAAAAAAAAAAAAAAAAAAAAAAAAATGGTGGCCCGTACATGCTCTAGACTCAGATTGGTTGGACGACGGGGCTTGCCCGTACATGCTCTAGACTCAGACTGGTTGGACTGGTACCCGCCTAGACCTAGCCTACAACCACTGGCCTCTAAAAATGCCACTTTTGTCTTCTTCTGCTCGGCCTCCAGTACCTGTACATCTACCCCTTCAAGGTGCGGTACCGGCCTACCCGCTACTTCAAGTTGAGTGTTTTTCCCGCTGCAATCCCTCAATGTCATGGCCACAGGTAAGTACCGGCCCTGAGGGCCCAATGAACGAGCAAGTGCCCTTACGGGCCACACACACTCAAGCCATCTAGCACTCAGACAGGCACGGCCACACACACTCTCAAGCCAATCATCACTCAGACAGGCACGGCCACACACACACTCAAGCCAACCATCACTCAGACAGACATGCAGTCCAGCAAGCGTGCACACACAGACTTAGTTGCAAGCGGGAAACTCAGCAAGGCATTCAATCTATGGGCAAAACTCAGAAATCAGCTGTGTGTTTCAGTCCATGTTTGGACGGGTCATCACACTAAGGAGGCAGGCACTCTACCTTGTATTGGCGATGGTCTGCATTTGGGCGGCATCTTCAAGTACTTCGGGTTGCCGCTGATGTCAACAGTTGCATTGTCTATTAGTAGGCTGATCGTAGTTGTGTAGGAGCAGGCTGGGCGCTGAGCGCCAAGTAGGAGTGTGAAGGGACGGGACTCTTGTGTTGTTGGCGGAGAGAGAAATCTCTCCTTGACATTGGTTTTCATTACTACGAACCTCCATTGGTGTATTATTGGTGCAATGCTGCTCTGTGGACACGGTGTGACTATCTGGCTTTCAATGTGATGGTGTAATCTGGAATTGTCATCTCACTGTTGCTTATTTTCCTTGCACCAGGTTGGACTGTGAGGAAAACAGCAGCAGACACCCGAAGGCTGTTCAGGGGCATTTTTTGCCAAAGCGCCCCCATAAATAAGTTTTTTCGAGCGGTTTTCAGGTTTGTGGACTTTATGGAGTCTACCAGAGATGCCGAAAAAGAAAAAAAAAAACTCGTACGGGACCCCTTGTGTACGAG